CACGTAAACCAGGAATGGAAATCACCTGTTTCATAGAGTTGGCGAGGCAATAGGAAAGAAAGGAACGACTCAGACATGGTTTATGCCTAAAGCAGATAATGTGTAGGGAATAAATTAAGCTTATGTTTTACATATCCTTGTCTGTTAGAATAATTCTATACATCCCAAATAGTTCTGACTCTTTTTAAAAGGACATATTGAGTAGCTTGGATCTGGCTCAGTCGATGGAACCGTTGCCTCACAAGCACGGTGACAAAGTCAGGTCCCAGAACTCTTGTTCTGATGCTGGGTGTGGCACAGGTTAAACCCCAGTGCTGGGGAGGTCGAGACGGATCTCTGGAGCACCCTGGGCTCTCTGTCAGGCTGAGTCAGTGAGATTAGGGCAGTGAGAGACCGTCTTAAACTGGCTGAACGGTGTTCCTCAGGAGGACACTGAGGTTCCCTTCTGGCCTCCACATTTATGCTGGATCTAATTTCTCTTTATTTCATGCAGATTATTTTATAAAGGTCACATGAAGCCCACAGATAAAAACATCCAAAATGAGTCCTTCTTACTTATATTGTCCAATATTTAAACATCTGACACTTTTTCAGGACACTTAGCTCCTTGTATCATTTTATGGTAACAATTGTGTTATGTGTGATTAGATTGTGTGTATGTATTACAAATATGTAATTTGTCTGTTTGTTACAAATATGTAATTACCATGAGAAGCACCCCCCTTTTTTTTAAAAAAAAAAAAGCTCATTATATTTTGGGGGAAAAACTGTATGAAGGAGACGAGATCAGAAGAAAAATGATAGAATGAGATAGAGGAGGTGATTTGTTTAGGTAGGAATACTTTCTCCAGAGCAGCGGCTTCAGGCGTCCCTGGCCTGCAGGGCACACGATCCCCCATGACTGGCCTGCAGGGCACACGATCCCCCATGACTGGCCTGCAGGGCACACGATCCCCCATGACTGGCCTGCAGGGCACACGATCCCCCATGACTGGCCTGCAGGGCACACGATCCCCCATGACTGGCCTGCAGGGCACGCGATCCCCCATGACTGAGGTTGTTTTTCTTTTCAGTTTAGTGGCTGCACCTGAATCTACTGATATTTTAACTCCAATCTCCAACCCCCACCCCAGACCCTGCCGTTAGCCCCAACTGCTCAGACCACAGCCTCGTGGGATTTCTAGTGCTGCTGGCCCTGGTCAGCCACAGCCACCAAATGTAGGTTTTAACTGAGTCTCTGATGTTGGGGTGAAAGCCAGGCTGGATCAGAGAGGCTGAGCAGCAACCAGCTGATCTTGTTTGGGTGCAAAGAGAAGCATCTCTGCACTCATCCCAAACCAAAAAGACTGTGAATCTTTAAGCCCCCCCCCCCCCCCCACTCTTTCCTGTGTATCTCTCCGTCCATATTCCTGGCTTCTCTGTCCTTTCTATGGTTAATTTCTGTCAACTGGTCACTGGCTCCGCCCATTGATCCAAAGTTAATTTTATTAACACAGTCTTGGAGTTTACAGTGTGACCAAATAGCCACCACAGAGGTGTGAAGGGTGTCACTGAGCTGTGCTGGGTGAGGAGCTGGACAGACAAAGACCATAGCCAGCCTGATAAATCAGGTCTCAGAGACCCATCAAAGGAGCCTGGGCAAAGCTGTGAATCTGAGTTTTGTCCATCATGCTGAATGAGACACGCCCATCCTTGTGCTTCAAGAAGACACACTCTGGCAGACTCACTCAGTTACCGTGAACAGACTCTCTGGAGAGGTGTCTGCCCAGTACGTGCCCTCAGAGAGCCTGGTGGCCGAGAAGCCATCCTGTAGTTTTACACTAGTCTTCCCATTCCTGGTCACACGCACACACTCCCAGGACCAAGGCTTCGCAGCTCCTGACCACCACCTCCCAGTACCACTACCCTGAGGTAAAGGCCTGCTGACCCAGCTCGCAGGGCCGGGAGTAGAATTTCAGCCAATCTGAGGTTAGATCTGAGGTTCCCCGTGGTCACGTGTCCCTCTTTAGATAAGATGAGTTTAGGGTGTGCCTGGGCCCCGAGTTACAGTCACTGTGAAGAAACCATCGCTCTGATCTCTGAGACACTCTGCCAGATGGAGCACACAGGAGTCCTCTGCAGACTGAGATGGCTGGGGCTGGAAGGGGAGAGGACACTCGGACATGCATCTGTCCCAGCCCTCCTTTACCCACTGTCCAAGGCTGAGCCCAAACACGGGGAGCAGACGCGTTCTGAGATGGACAGAGGGTGACTCACCGGCGCGGAAACGTTCTTTCCTCCAACTCTGAAAAGAACATAGATGTGTGTTAGCAGACCTAATATTTGACTTTTCTACCAAAGGAAACCATTCCTTTGAATTCTAATGTCCCAGATGCACTTTGCACATTTTGTTTGACCTAAATTTCCATTCCTCTTCTCTTCAAATATTGACCCTTGAATTAATTACTCTAAATACACCTTCCATTGTGTGGACTAGAGGGGTTCACGGTACAGCTATCATCTTCTCCAACAGAGAGGTGCCATTCCACGGCCTCCCTCAGGCACTCCTGAGCACACACGGGTGGGACGCAGCTGTGAGGAGTGGCGTGGAGTTCCCACTTAACTCTCATTATAGCATGTTCCCACCCTCCCTAGGACGGTGTGCGCACTGGGCCTCAGGGTGGTCCCCAGGATGGTGTGCACGCTGGGCCTCAGGGTGGTCCCCAGGACGGTGTGTGCGCTGGGCCTCAGGGTGGTCCCCAGGACGGTCTGCGCGCTGGGCCTCAGGGTGGTCCCCAGACTGGTCTGCACGCTGGGCCCCAGGCTGGTCTTCAGGGTGGTCCCCCGAACTGTCTTGTCAGCATGCTGGTCCCCAGGACGGTCTGCACACTGGTGCCCAGGCTGGTCTTCAGGTTGGTCCCCAGGACAGTGTGCACTCTGGTCCCAAGTTGGTCCCCAGGACTGTCCAATCAGCATGCTGGTCCCCAGGACGGGTTGCACACTGGTCTTCAGGCTGGATCCCTAGGACTGTCTGGTCAGCATGCTGGTCCTCAGGATGCTTTACACTCTGGTTCTCAGGACGGTCTGCACACTGATTCCCAGGCTGGTCCCCAGGACAGTGTGCAGCTAAGATATTTTATCCAAAGTCTTTGGACCCAGTGTCTAAGGAATGGTCAAGGGTTTCTGGTCTAGTCGACAGCAGCATAGCCCATTTAAGCTGAGGCACTGTCCCTTCCAGGTGTTTCTTACCCTTGTCGTCCATAGCTCTGATTGGAGGGGAAGAAAACAAGCCGTCCTCTCCTCTGCTGAAGTGAAAGCTTGCATTTTCTCTATTAATTTTTTGTTAGTGTGTGTGTGTGTGTGTGTGTGTGTGTGTGTGTGTGTGAATGCACATGTGAGCACAGTTGATGTGGAGGTCAGCAAAGGGCACTGAATCTCCTGGAGTTGAAGTCACAGGCAGTTGTGAGCCTCCTGGGTCTGGGGGCTGGGAATTATCTCAGGTCCTCTGCAGGGGCACGTGCCCTTGACCTCCAAGCCATTTCTCCAGCTCCTATTTCCCCTATTAACAGCTTAGGCAACATGATAAATTTCTCTTTCCACCTCCAACAAGAGAAATACCTCAACATTTCTCACCCATTTGGATTCCCCTGATACTCATGGCACTGATGTCACCATGGTTTCGGAACTAGATTTTGATTGACAGCTATTCTCTATTAAACCACCCCAGCATTTAAGATGTAGCTCAGATTGCTATCAAGTTAGAGCTGGTTTCTCTACCAACATTTGAAAGATCATTCTTAATATTTTAATATAGTGCTGCTGTTTTCATTTTGGGAATCATGGGGTTGTTTAATATTTAATTCCTTTGAAGGCTGTCTTAGCGCTGTGCTCAATGGCACCCGTACAGAAGTTGCTCATTGTCAGTTCTTTATGAAACATGCACAGATATAAAGTGTTAAAAACTTGTGGAGTAAGCCCATGGAATAATTCTACTTACATTAAATCTAATATTATAGTTGTTATAATTTTACAACAACAAGGTTTACCTTTGTTGGGTTATTTCGTATTAACTCAGTTAAGAAAACTGGTTGTCCTGGTTTAGTTCTCTGTGGCTGTGGTAATTAGAATAAGAACGGCCCTGTAGGCTCACGTGTTTGAATGCTTAGAACCAGGGACTGGCTCTGTTGGAAAGGATTAGAAGGATTAAGAGGTGTGGCCTTGTTGGAGGAACTGTGTCACTGGGGTGGGCTTTAAAGCTTCAAAAGCCTAAGTTCTGCCTCTGGAGGCCTGCAGATCAGGGTGTAGCCCTCAGCTGCTGCCCCAGCACCATGTCTGTTGCCACACTCTTTGCCATGGTATAATGGACTAAGCCTCTGAAACTGTAAGCAAGCCCCCAAATACATGCTTTCTTTCCTAAGAGTCCCTGCCATTGTGTCTCTTCACAGCAGTAGAACATGACTAAGACAATGACCAAGAGCCACTTGGAGAGGAAAGGTTTCCTCTCACGACTCCTGGATCACACTCCACCACTGAGGGAAGTCAGACTGGGACTCAGGACTGAAACCTGGAGGCAGGAGCTGCTACAGAGGCCACAAAGGAACCCTGCTTACCAGCTTCCTCTCCCCAAGGCTTGCTCAGTTTGTTTTCTTATTTACCCCAGGGCCACCTGCCCAGGGGTGGAACCATCTACAGTTGGGTCTTTCCACATCAACCACCAATCAGGAAGATGTCTTACAGACTTTCCTACAGGTCAGTCTGAAGGAGGCCGTTTCTCAACTGAGGCTTCCTCTGCTCAAGTAACTCCAGCTGGAGTCAAATTGACAAAAGCCTGACCAGCACATTGCTGGTGTGCGGTACGTTAGATATGAACAGAGAATAACACTGGGGGAATGTGCCCAGAGGGCATTAGACACTTGCAAGAGAATGACTAATAATAATAATAATGCCACCGGTGTATAAGCAGGGAGCTAATGTGCTATCAGATTCAGGAAGCCATGGATTCAATCATCTTAGGAATGATTAAACAGATTTATATCAAAAAGGAAGCAATCATAACACCATGCAAAGCACAGCTGTCTTTTCTGCTGATAGTCTGAGAATCTTGATGTCCAGAAACTGGCCACAGAGGCTCATGGAGTCTCAGGATGATGTCCAGAAACTGGCCACAGCGGCTCATGGAGTCACAGGATGATGTCCAGAAACTGGCCACAGAGGCTCATGGAGTCTCAGGAAAGGCACCTCCCAGCCAGAGTTCCCTGTGCCTGCCCAGGAGGACCTGAGTCCTGGAGTTTGCAGACCACATGCTGCGGCAGCCGCCCACTGAGTTCTCCGTGTGCCTCACTTGGGACTGTGTGACGGAGAGAGGTCCCTGGCGTGACGTGTGAAGTAAGGATAGAGCGATCCCAAGAAACTGGCCTGGGCAAAGGAGAAGATGTGGGTCTCATCAGTCATGTTGTAGAAAGAAAGGTCATTGTCCTCTTGATCCAAGAAGACTGCGATCTTCAGTGGCCGCGTCTCCAGCAGCAGAGGCTCTTCCAGAGAAACGTTTTGGGAACAGAAGGTAAGAGCCCTGTATTCATCTCCCTTCTTCTCCAAGACTCTGAATTTCTTCAGTGATTCTTTGGATGGCGCATCCTGAGTGTACAGTTCATAAACTCCCAGTGTCCAATCCTCAGTGTCCCCGACATCCACCTCCCAGTAATATCTCCCCAACATGAAGCCTTCCTGGTACAGTGTGATGATGTTGTGGTTTCCTGGTGGGTTGCTGAGGGATGGCTCTGCAGTCTCCTCTCTGCTGCTCTCCTCTGTCTCTGGACCAGATTTGTCCTGGTCAGGCACTTCATGATTTATCTTCACAGGAGCTGGGGAGGAAAGGGAGGAGGTGTGAGGAGGAGACGAAGCCACAACTGCAAAGTATGTATACCAATAACGCTGTGTTCAAAGTTAGCGCTGTGTGTTGGAGGCCGTCGGACCGGCAAAGTCTTAAAGAAACCGGGTCTGGAGGCTGGTGCAGCAATGCTCCTGAGGTGTTGAGCCACGGGCCCTCACAGCGCATTCTGAGCTCTTCATCTCGTTCTGTTCTGTCTATGCTACTGTAGGGTCTTGGGAGAGCATGGAGTGAGGTAGGACTTGGTGAATCAGAGCCTTGTTCATCTATTGTGGAAGGGCTGGTCACAAGCTGACCTCACAAAAGGAAGCTGAGGGTTCTCGCCCCTCGGAGCAGTGTTTCCTTAGTTAGGCGTCTCCTCAGTAAGGGGCCATGGTTCTGTTGTTCAACCCAGTGGATCCCACAGACCAGAACGCTGGGCCAGTGTGTGGAGAAGGGGACAGAACCAGTGAGACCGAGCCTGGCAGTGGCTTGCAGCACAGGGTCACACGGCAGGGTCCCTTCTTCCCCTCCCCACTCTCAACCCGAACAACATGTCTGTCTGTTAGGAAGATCACACGAGACGCCAGAGGGCAAACCGGAGGCCGGAGTGCTCAGCGGTTTGTCTGGCACGTGCACGATTTGACACCCATCTCCAAAACGAGAAATGAAACCACAGAGGTCGAGGCAAGCCAGAGCAAACCGACTCACCCAGCTGGAACAGTTCCTTTCTCCAGTCTGAAAGAGAGCAGAGCAGGCGGGTGGATGGTAGAGCTGCCCTCAAGGAACGGAAAGGAGACCCAGGGCTTTCTCCTCCCACGGCTGCCTCACTAAGTCCCTCTGACTTTCTAGTGTCCAGAAACTCCCGCAGGCAGGTGCTCTCTGTGCTGACTCAGGGACTCAATGCTGGGGGTGAAGTGAGGGTGGGGATTCAGGTAAGGGTGGTGGGATGGGGTGGGGATGGTGTGGGGGGGGAATGAGGATTGTTGTGAGCCGCCATATATAAGCCATGGGAACTGAACTTTGCAAGGGTAACCATTGCTACTGAGGTGTCTCCCCAGCCCCTGAGGCTTTTCCTCAGCCTCTGAAGCATCTCCCTAGTCCCTGAAGCTTCTCCTTAGCCCCCAAGGCATTTCTCCAGCCCCTGAGGCTTCTCCTCGGCCTCTGAAGCATCTCCCCAGCCTCTGAAGCTTCTCCTTAAACCTGAAGCATCTCCCCATCCCCTGAGGCTTCTCCCCAGCCCCTGAGGTGTCTCCGCAGCACTGCTGGAACATCTTAGAACAAATCTTTAAAGTCCGAGCAGAAGCTGCTTATAAACTGTCTGTCACCTCCTCCAAGCACTCAGGCTGCCTGTAACTGCCTGGTTCCTAACTTATGTTTCCTGGGGACTTTCAACTTCCACAGGGTCAGAGATGACAGCTGTGCCCCCTGTGTGTGTCATAATGTCTGATGTATGGAAATTGCACAGATGAGATCAAGGATTAACCTAGTGTGTTTGTGAACCCCACGCTGCGCACACACACACACACACACACACACACACTCACACACTCACACATATTCAGACACATGACACATATACTCACATCATACATACACTCAGTCACACACACATCATACACATTCAGGCACACATCACACACATATATGCACACACACATCACATGCACATACATATGCACACACATGTGTACACACACTTATACACACATCACATAAACATACGTACACAATAAGTAAATTGTTATCTCTTCTTTTTTTCTTAGCTACAGACAATAACATTGTTTGAATCCCCGACATAAATGATCACAACTTGCTGGGCGTGGTGATGCACACCTGCAATCCTAGCATTTGGGAGGTGGAGACAGGAGGCCTAGGTGCTCACACCCAGCCTTAACCACACAGCGTGTGATCCAGGCTTGGTTGTGCGAGGCTTTGTCTCAAAAGGGTTGTTGTTGTTTTTCAGTTTGCAAGTTGGCAGCCATGAAAGTGTGCATGTGTGAGGCGTGTGTTTGTTTCCAGATAGGATGCCCATTGTTTTAGAGCTGCTGGCAAGACTCAATGCCACAGGGCACTTACCAGGGTACAGAAGGGCTTTCTTCCAATCTGCAACAGAACAGACCCGAGACAGCTGAGTGCTGACCTGTGGCCTCACACTTCCCCCTTCCCCCTCAGCTTTCCACACCAGTCATCCTTAAACCCTTCAGTTCCATCCTCCCCACCTCACGAGGGTACCAAGGGGGAATTGACAACAGGGCATCTGGGTGCAGGACGCCTGGTCTCTTACCTTCTCTGTACAGCGCCTTCCGCCGATCTGAAAGAAATAACATTCGGTGAACGTCCGGAGTAGCGAGAGAGAAGCAAATGCTACAGAGAGGAAGGAGAAGTCACACTCACCCAAGTCAGCCTTGAGGTCATCTGAAAGAAAGGGAAGGTTTGTGAGAAATCCCCCTGAATCTGAAGAGTGGCTAAATGAGGTAGGGTTGACTTCCCTTAGGGGCCACATAGTTAAGGAGATGAGCATGGCCATATGGCCACTGTAAACCCATAAGGTGCCCTGGGAGTTTAAGGTGTCTTAGGGCTCCTTCTGAAGCAGGTTCTTGACCAATTCATAGGAAGAGAAGCAGGTGCCAGAGAAGCAGCCGCACCCTCTGGAAGAAGGGTGTGGAGAAGCATGGGATTGTGATGAGCAGGGTGGGAAGGCATGGGCTGTGGTTTGAGGCTGCCCTTCAGAGCCTGAGGTCCACTCCCCTTGACCTATCCACTCTGTGCGGCACCCGCACCCCATACCTTCCTAGCTGCTTCGACCCCCCCTCCCAGCCTCTCTATGAACCCCTGACTTATTCTGTTGTCCCCATTTGTACCTTTCTTCTTCACTGCAATTTTCATTTCCTTCCTCATCTGTTGCGTTTCCTGAAATTCTTCTGACTTTTTCTTTATCACTTGCTCTTTGTGTTGATGCACTTTCCAGGTAGCAAGGCTGATGGCACTGAACAGGATGAATAGCACGGGGAGGCAGGCAGCCAGAGCACTTCTCCATGGAGAAGTCCTGGGGAAGAAGGGCTCTGACAGGGTGCGCGCAGAGTCAGAAACCTGCCTGAAGCAGCTCTTTTCAGCCCCCTCCCCCCCGGCCTCTCCCTCTCCCATTCCCCTGCCTGGGAGTTTGGCCCTCACTGACCTGGGAGGAAGATGGCCTTCGCTTTCTCCTGGTCGTGGAGGGGATTTTGGATGGAGCAGATCACGTTGCCTACAGCTCTATCTGTGACCAAAAGAGATGCTTCCACGCGGAAGAGCCCGTCTCCGTCTTGGGTCTGTGACTCCGAGGAGGACAGTAGAGTGTTCCCCACAGTGTCTCTCCACTGCACCGTGGGTTTGGGGAACCAGCCACTTGAGGAACATGACACCCGGATCCCATTGTTCTCTGGCCCTGTCATGCGAACAAGAGGGGCAGAACCTAACCCTGAGGAGAGAAGACACCTGGTTGAGGCCTTCTGTTTTGGGGGGCCAGAGTGCTTGAGGGAAGGAAGAGCAGACTGGAGCTGAGGTCAGCTGAGGCTACCCCGAGACTCAGTTTCATCTTGGCTTACCGTCTTTACATGTGCTTGGACTCAGAGAGGTTAAAGTAGATCTAGGAAATGCTAAACTTGAAAATGGGTCTAGTTGTATTTTCTGTCCTGATGTACTGGAAGTTGATCTCAGAGGGGGTCAGTGTTACTACTGGATATACTTTCTGGGATCTTTTAGGATACAAAACAGGCTCAGAGGCCTGGACAAGTACGTCGGTCAGCAGAGGGCTTGTGCAACCATGAGGACCCAAGTTCACTTCCCCAAACCCACGTGGAACCTGAGTGAGGTGGTACAAACTTGGGGACTCACTTACCACCCAGCCTAGCCGGGTTGATGATCCTGTCTCAGAAAACATGGTGGACAGTGACCTGAGGTTGACCTCTGCCTTCACATATAAACAAATATACACGTATGTGTGTGTGCGTTCGTGTACACACACACACGCACCTTAGGTTCAGAAATGTGAAGTCTGTGATGTTAACCTCTGATGGCAGACAGTACTCCCACTGGACACTGCAGGCAATGAATATCACATAGATACATCAACACACCTAGGAATGGACATCCCATAGACATAGCAACAGATCTAGGGAACGGATGTCTCACAGATCCATCAACACGTCCAGGATCACAGGCAGCTCCAGGTTGGGTGTAAGGAGGGTTACAGACAGTTTGCTGTTTGTCTTACATCACAACTGACATCCTGTGCCAGGCTCACATACCTATGACACGCAGCTCCACGGCGGCCTCTTGGGAGGTGAAGCCATTTGTAACTTGGCAGTGATACAGGCCATCGTCAGAAGCCTGGACCTGCTGTATATGCAGAGCCACATTTCCCATGGCGATGGCCTCTGTCCCCATCTGGGTTCTGCCTCGGTACTCCGGCATCTGTGCATCCCCTTGTTCCTGTCCTTCGTGGAACACCAGCACAGCAGGGGTGAGCTGGGCACGGTACCAGCGGATGTGCAAGTGGGATGCGCTCTGTCCAGGAAACAGCTGGCAGGGCAGGATGACGTCAGTCCCAAGCAGGACCATGATGGGCTCAGTTGGTCCCTTCACAAAAAACTGAGACACTTCTGGGGAACAGACATGGATTGTGGAAGCGAGTTAGAGACATGAGACTTCCAACAAACAATCCTGTATTTTCATATTTAGGGGACTAAACATATTTCTCGTTGTATTACTTTTATGAAGTATTAAGCCGAGTAGTGGTGGTGCACCCTTTAATCCCAGCAATTAGGAGGCAGAGGCAGGTGGATCTCTGTGAGTTTGAGGCCAGCCTGGTCTACAGAATGAGTTCTAGGATAGCCAGGGCTACACAGAGAAACCCTGTCTTGAAAAAAAAATTAAGATTGAATAGATAAAATTTTAATAGTTATAGAAATGTGTATAAATATCTCAGTCTCTGTGTATATATGTATATGTATGTGTTCTTGGGACTTTCACAATATCAACACTTATTCAGAAATGTCAGATTCTTTATTATTTAGAATCTACTGAAATACATGGACTTATCTCATTGAACAGTTTAGGAAATGGACATTCTCCAGATTTGTCAACATAGCCAAGATCACAAAAATAGCAGGAGAGAGAGAGAGAGAGAGAGAGAGAGAGAGAGAGAGAGTCCTATAAGCCTAAAATGAGGTGACTTTGGGTTGAGCAGAGTTCTGGAAGGGACAGCTATGAACTTGGAGTTGAGAGCCCTGGCCATCAGCCCAGAGAGAGTGATGCTCCAGGACAGGAGCACCACAGTGGTCATGGCTAGACTGGGGCAAGGCTCTTTTCAGTTCTTCATTGCTTCCGGATGTGGGGTCCCCTGTGACTCTGAGGTGCGTAACACTGGTGTCAGTGTACATACACGCCATATGCATACAATTTAGAAAGACTGTTTCAGTTCAGCTGAAGCCACAGTGCAGTGGGGAATCATGGTTTCACATGAATGCAACATTATCATCAGTTTTGGCAATGGCGGACTCCCAACTGTTTCAGTACGTATAGTCAGCCATACCCTACTCATTTATCTTTAACAGTCTATACCATTATGGTCAAGCTTCTCCTAATTGGTAACAATTATAGCACTTCCACCTTATTACTATAAACAATGCTGTGATAACTTTACACATATGCATATACATATACACACATGCATACACACGTGAATACATACATCTATACATACACAGACCCTCCCAACAAGTGTTTTTACACAAAGACTTATAGAATTTTGAATCAGTATTTATGGACATTAGTGGGTTTTTTTTTTTTTTTGGATTTTTCAAGACAGGGTTTCTCCGTAGCTTTTGGTTCCTGTCCTGGAACTAGCTCTTGTAGACCAGGCTGGCCTCGAACTCACAGAGATCCGCCTGCCTCTGTCTCCCGAGTGCTGGGATTAAAGGCGTGTGCCACCACCGCCCGGTTGGACATTAGTGTTTGATGGTAGACCAGTTGTCTAGCATGTGTTTGATAGTTAAACAAAATAGGGAGGTGCTGTGGGAACTCCCTCAGCCAATAGCTTTTAAGATGCCAGCCCACTTTGGGGGTAATCTCAAAGGCTATTGGCTGAAGGAGTTCCCACAGCAGTAGACCAGTTGTCTGGTTTGTGCACCCCTGGGTTTCATTTTGATTTTTCTATTTACCACCTGACATCAGATTCGGGACATAATACCCGACTATGCCATTCACGTGATCTCCTTTCTAAGTTCTCTCCAGAGTCTGGGGACTTCATCTAGAGGGTGTTTCTTCTTTATGAAGGAAAGGCCAGTGTCCCAGAGAGAATAAGAGATTTCTTCAAGGTCACAACCAAGAATTCGGAATCCAAACTCTTTGCTCTGCTATGTACACAGAACCCCACGCCTTCCCTGTCACAGTGGTCCAAACCCTCAAACCATAAGCTAAACTAACCACCTCCCCTTTAAGCAGCTTCTTGTCTGGCAGCTGGCCACAGTAAGGAGAAAACTGACACATGCTGAGAACCTCACAAAGGATATCTCAACAGACAGACACCAGAGGTGTTAACAGCCTCAAGTCACCACATTCAGCGAAGGTTCAGGTAGATGTCACAGTTCTGAGCTTTATAAAAACTACCCAAAGTTTCAGGGAGGACATTTTCTTGGCTGAGTGATTGCATTTACTTGAGAGAAGCCATTAAAAACAAGACAGTAAGTACAGGACAGAAGGCAGAATGCTGACCTCCCGAGACTCCGGTGGACACCAGGAGGAGCAGAGGGAGGAGACAGGCAGCTTGAGGGATGGCTGGAGAGCCCTTCATCTCCAGAGGGGAAGAAGGCCAAGGCCGGTTCACCTGTAGGAAGTCAACAGGTGGAGGTTTTCAGGAAAATCCCCCGTTCAAAGACTTAACGTTATTCTCAGGTTTCTAACTCTGTCTCCTACAAAACCCTTAAGACAAAACCCACCAATCTCGCCCCTCCCCAAGGCCTTTCAGATCCTTTATTCTAAAGGCCAACAGTTTCCTCACGGGCATGTGAAATGGCCAAGCATTTTCTGTGCTGGGGGAGGAGGACTCTCTTGCCTTTCTGTGGGTCCACGGTCTCACAGGGGAACTTGGAGTTGGATTCCCTGAGTTCAGTGTGGTGGGGTGGAGTCACACAAGGAAGCAGACCACTCCCACATCAGGTCTATCTTCACTCTTCTTCTGTTTATTTACTTATTTCCCAATAAAGGTACTATTTCTCACTACGTCCTCATGACTTCCACCCCCCTTTCTTCAGGCCCACACCTCGCTTGGACAGATGTGCTCACAGGCACAAGCTCACCGTCTGGACAGAGCTGTGGGTTCCTGGAAGCTCCTGGGATCCTCAGTGACCGGAAGCCTGGCCCTGGAGACCATCTGCACCTGTGTTACTGTGGCCACTACTCAAGGGTGTGGCTGCTGGGGCCAGGGTGTCGGATTTTCAGAGATGTTCTCCTTAAGGAGGACATACAGGCTTTCCCCCCGGGCTCTGGCTTTAGAGGAGTCTAGCAGAAGTCATAGCCATCTCCAGCTCTTCAGTTACTTCAGGAGTGGAATCAAATCGACCAGAGGACTTTGCACTGGGCTGAGCATAGAGTAAGCAGCTGTAGATTGCTCTGGAGACTTCTCACCATAAGCTGCTTCCTACACTACCAGGGAGAGGCAACCGGGTCTGATGTTCAGATCTGAGGGTCACTCACATGGTTAACTGATTTAGAGACGAAGCCAAGCCTGCTTCTCCCCCTACTCCATGACTGACTTCTGACAGTGTTGAGCCTCAGTACATGAACCACAGAAGACCATGCCTCAAACAAAAACAAAATGACAGAAGGCTCTGGCAACTCTCAATAGACTTGCATTTAAAAAAAAAAGAAGTATTTCACGTGTGTGGGTATTTTGTCCGCATGCGTGTGTGCACTGCATGTGTGCAGAGTCCATGGAGGACAGAAGAGGATGCCAGGTGCCCAGATCAGCGTTAAGGCAGTTGTGAGCTGTCACGTGGGTGCTGGAAACTAAACCCGGGTCCTCTGCTTGAGCAGCCCGTGCTCCTAACCCCCTAGCCGTCTCTCCAGCCCCCAATTTTGCATTTCCATACTCTACTGTATATTGTCATCTCTTGGCAACCGCTGAAAGTCACATGATCTTAGTGAATATCTCCATCTACAAGGGAGCCATTTTCTCCAAACGATTTCTTCTGAAAGCTCGTTTTTCACTTTTAACTTAGCTTCGTGATATACAGTTTTGTTGGAGAATTCTGTCTGTACTTGTTTCATTCTTGTCTCTTAGGATCTGCTTGAACAACCTTCGATCTAGAATGTCAAGGATATAAATTAGTGTTGTTGGTCTTCCCTTTAAAATAATTGTTTTATTTTTAATTATGTGTGGGTTGCATCTCTCTTTTTCTCTCTGTGTATGTTGTGAGTGTTTGTGTGTTAGTGCACATGCGCACAAGTGTCCCCGGAGTCCAGAAGAGGCCATCAGTGTTACTGAACATGTTTCACCAAAAGAAAGAGAGAGAGAGAGAGAGAGAGAGAGAGAGAGAGAAAGCTGGGCAGGTGGACGGGTTTTCTCTGGGTACCCAAAAGGTCGTGCCCTAACCTGGTTCAGCCTCTTTTTTTTTATTTTTATTTTAATTTATTTATTTATTAAAGATCTGCGTCTCTTCCCCGCCACCGCCTCCCATTTCCCCCCCCTCCCCCAATCAAGTCCCTCTCCCTCCTCAGCCCGAAGAGTCAGCCTCTTAAAGGTCACTGGCTGACGGAGGTTCCCCAGCACATCAGATCCCTGCCTGTAGTTACAGGCAGTTGTGAGCTTCCTGTGGGTGCCGGGAATTGAACTCTGGTCCCCTGGAGGAGTATGTGCCTTTAGCCCTTCCTGAGGTGGGTGCCGGGAATTGAACTCTGGTCCCCTGGAGGAGTATGTGCCTTTAGCCCCTGAGCCCTCCCGCCAGCCTAATTATGGCTTGCTCGAGTCTTTCTGTCATTGTGAGCAGGAATATGGTTGTTCACAGGCTTGAAGGACAGCAAGCTTTTCTCTCCTTGCTCACGACACGGGAGTGTGATGGGAGGGCCCAGCTGTCCATGATGTGTAACTCCAGCTGAATGAGGTGGATTTAATCAATGTCCACGGAGGAAATTTGGGGTGAATGAGAATCAGAAAGTTGAAACGTATTCACATCTTTTCAATTCTTTTTTTTATGAATGAGAGGACTGACAAGGAGATGACAATGTATCAAAGCATCAGATAAATTCATGTGTGTCCAGCAGACATGATAGAACTTGCCAGCACATGGCTAAATGGGTGTGTTACAGACACCCTTGCTTCTCATAGGTTAGTTTAGATAATTTCAAAAAATTGAGGCTAAGGATTACCATTCAACCCACTGTCAGATGAGGAAACAGAGACATCCAAGCAGTTCTATAGATCACCCCAAAGTCCTAAGCATCAGCAATAATAAGATTAACATCAGGTTCTAGGATTCCGAGACACATGTCACTAGACACATGTGGTTTAGAAAGAATTCGGTTGCTCCAGCTCTTGGCTGCACCTCATAGCCATGTGATTATTACTGTTCTATGTCAGTGTTGAAGTTCTCTTTTCTAATCTTATTTTACCTTTGGTTTTGAAACTCCCAAAGTTTCCTGGGAGGAACCGTCTTGCCTCCAGTTTTCTGAACCCCTTAATGTCCAACTAAGGCTTCCTCCCAGACCCTCAAACTCCCGAAGCATCTCAAGCAAGGCTTACAGAGAGCCCTGCACACATCCAGGAGAAGGTGAGCTGGGAGGCAGGGCAGGAATATCCTGTCTGGCTCCCTCTCTGAGGTAGTGAGTGGTTCCAAAAAGCCTTCATCTCTCTAGGAACTTAGACAATGTGAGCTTCACACAAGCCTCTCCTAGATGGTGGGCAAGAGGTGAGAGGAACACAGCGTGGATTCTGGGGATAGATAGAGGACAAACAGAATCCTTTGTCAAACAGGAAAGTGTGGGAGAAAATGCAAGGAGATTGAGCCAAGCTTGAAATTGCCATTTCTCTCTGTTTGCCTCTTGTCTTCCCTCCCTTAGTCTACGGATAATGAGTTCTCCCTATAGAGGGATGAGCGAGACCATGGGCCTATTCAGGGCTGTCTCTGGAAAAGGTCTTTGTGTGAATGACAAAGGTGTCCCTGGCATTTCTTTGGGAAAGACACCCAGTTGTCTGAGAGTCCAGGAGACCATTTCTTAGCACCGCCATGAACCCCTTAGCCACGCCTCTTACCTTGACAGCCTCCATGTCATGGCTCCCCAGTGTTTGCAGGACCTCCCTCTGGACCATATTGTTCCCCAGCCCAGGAACGATGGTGAATTCCCTGCACTTCTTTCTGCTGAGGGACCTCTTTTCCACCCTGCTTCTGCTTCCACGTGGGGATCCAGTGAAAACCTACCGCGTTTCTAGACCTAGTTCCTCTATTTTTTGCTTAGAAGGATTAAGACACAAGGCGAGTTTGCAAAAACACCTTGGTTAATTCTAAATCCTCACCTAGTGTAATGATTGCACATCAGGGTAAATAGAACTTCATAAGGAAAGTGTTTTCCCAATTTCTCAGCCCTCTTCTCACACCCCCTGCCAAGAGTACATCACCATTGCAATCAAGAAGTCGTTTGCTTTATGTGAGACTAGCCTGTATGTGGTAGAACCCCACGGAGTACCAGCCTGTCCTAGGACTCCGGGCACTGATGATGCTGTACTCTGAAGGCTACAGGTTTGTTGCCCTGACACATTTTCCACTCTGGTTTTCTCCCATAGATTCCTTAGCTGTTCGGTCTGGAGGCAGAAAATGGGAGACAGACCACCGAAGTCTGTGAAACCAGAAGCAAACTTTATTGGGGGGTGGGTGGGAGAATTATCACAGAGCACAAAAAGTTTATCAGCTAGCTGAGACCACAGCCAGAGTTCGGGCTTCTGAAACTGCAGCCCTGGGGTTGTGTTTGGGCCCCTTTTTAACATTAGGTACGGACAATGTAATTTTTACATTTTTGAGGTTAGTTTAGAGACATATTGCATTTTACAATGTTCACTTACAAGGTTTTGGCTTAATGGTGTTTACAAAAATCCTGCAGCTTTATACCTCGTGGTGTTTACAAGTAACTTCACAGCTCTTTCCAGCACAACCTGTAGCACAGGTTTGGAAACAATGTGAAACCGAAAGTCACGCTGGAGCAACTTATTAAAGGTTAACCTCTGCCCAGGCAATTGTGGGCTATACGGGGCAGGAGGGCTGTCGGTAAAAGTTAACCCTTGGCTGCTGACAAAGCTGCTGCCAGCCCTCATTCTCTAAGTTTATAATTTTATAGTTCTGTATCCCTGCACCCTTCAACTGCAGGACAATCTGATGGAGGTGTTTTTTCTCAGCTGAGGTTCCCTCTTCCCAGATGACCTTAACTTTTGTCAAGACAGAAAAATAAAACAAAGCACAAAACAAACAAACAAACAAAAAAACCAACCAGCATGTGTTAGTGAAAAAGAGACAGATACGTTTGGAGATGGCCAAGCTCTTGATGCTGGATTTGACTAACTGGTCTTGATAAACGATGCTTTCATTATGCTGCACTTTGAAACTGAACCAGGGTTTAGGTGTACGTTGTTTTTTTGTTTTGTTTTTGTTTACTTGTTTGGTTTTGTTTTTGTTTACTTGTTTTTGTTTTATTTTGAGTCAGGATTTCTCTGTGTAGTTCTGGCTGTCCTGGAACTCTCTCTGTAGACCAGGCTGGCCTTGAACTCAGAGACCACCCCCCACCCCCAGACTCAGCCTCCCAAGGGCTGGGATTAAAGGCATGGGCCATCATTGCCTGGTCCATACCAGTTTTTACAAGTCTATTTTAAAATGAGGTACTTTATTTCAATTCATCGTTCCAAAGACAAACAAACTGTCCCTCTCACTTGAGGTCAGCCTCATCTTCAGCTGATGCTGCCCAACATGGTTCATTTTGTCCATCTTTTTTTCTCCATTAATCTTCACTGAACAATTTTATTTTTATGAAACAGGGCCTCCTAAGTCCTGGAACTTGTTATATAGATCAAGCTGGTCTTGAACTCACAGAGATTTGCCTGATTGAAGGTCTGCACCACCCCACCCAGTCCTTGACTGAATTTTTTAAATGAAAAGGGGTTGGGAGAACCATTTTGATGTACAAGAATACGGATGGCACAGGTTAGTAAAATATTTCTTTTGCAAATATTTTAAGTATGGAAAAGAACAGAAGATTGTTTTAAAGGAAAAAATATGTAATAGTCAAATGTATTTGCAGTGCCTTCAAGGTCTAAATATGCCTGGAACATATATAAATCAAAGAGAAACATACAATTTATAAGGTAAAGTCATCTTCCTTCCAAAAACAATGTTTTTATTAATCTATGAGAATTTCATATGATGCATCTTGATCATATCCACTCTCCTTCCCCAACTCCTCCTATCTACCCCGATCTCCTTACTCCTCGTGTTCTCTTTCTCTCTTTCTCCCAGACCCAACTACACAGGAGTGGGGCCTGCCCAGTAGTGTGGTCAATGAGCCAAGGATCACACAGTTAAAGAGCATGGATTCGCCTTCTCCCGGCAGCTATCAAATGCTGTAGATGTAGATCCTCGGCTAGGGGTGGGACTTGGTGCTCCTTACCTTTCTTCTTTAGTGCGTGTTTAATAGGAGTGCACATCTCAGGAAGAGTTCAGAGGTCCCCGACAATCTCAGGAAGAGTTCAGAGGTCCCCGACAATCTCAGGAAGAGTTCAGAGGTCCCCGACAATCTCAGGAAGAGTTCAGAGGTCCCCGACAATCTCAGAGCTCCTCTTGTATCACAGCACTTGTCATGATCTTTCTCAGGTGACCGAGTGCAGAGCACATGGCCAAGTCTGACCTTTAGAAGCAGTTGGTGGGTTGTATAATGGCTTATCTTCAGCTCACTTAGCCTGGTTGGTCAGTTATATATTCACGCTTATCTTCATCTGCTCTCTGGGCCTCCTTTCCTGTTCTCTTCTATGGCCATGCATGCGTTCTTGCTTCTACTTTGGACTCCCATGGCCGTGTCCTTCCAGGAGGCTGAAGTCTACTTAGAGTTGGTTTTTGCTTCTTTGGCTTGGATCCGTTCCACTTCACCTAGGACCAACTTCAAGCACGTATTCATTTCCATATTCCTCAGAGTGTGTGGCAGCGCTCCTCGGGCAACTCTGGGAAGACAGAATGTGCCACGGAGGGTTTGCTGTTGTCCAGAACTTTGTCCTCCTTAACTGGCCATAGCATGGTGGCAAATATTACTAGAGGGATTGTAATTTTTAGCTAAAAAATGAGGCAGCAAAGTTTCATGATGGTTCCTCCATCCAAGAAATGGGGGAGTGACCCTAGGAGAGCTTATATGAGATTTAAAGACAAACTCATAGGCTCTTAAAATCAGCACGTCTGTTATTTGGGGGATGCTGGGTCCTTCTTGCATCCTGGCATTGCTGTTTTTATGTGGGTGCTTGTCGATGGAAGTTTCTGTCTCACCTGGTCCTGCAGACAGCCATTCAGTCCCAGATAAACACACAGAGGCCTATATTAATTATAAACTGTCCGGCCTGTTGCTCAGACTTCTTACTAATTAGCTCTTACAACCTAAATGAACCCATAATTCTTATCTATGATTAGCCACGTGACTTGGTGCCCTTCCTCAGTAAGGCATTCTCATCTTTCTCTGTGGCTGACTTGCGACTGTGTCTCTGCCTTTCCTCTTCATATGCTTGAGAGCTTAGTCCCCAGTGGGTGGAACTGTTTAGGAGGATTAGGAGGCATGGCCTTGTGGAGCAAGTGTGTCCCTGGCGTGGCTGGGCCTTGAGGAGTCAAAAGTGCAAGTCGCTCCTAGTTAGCCTTCTCAGTGTCATCCTTGTGGATCAGATGTAAGCTCTAAGCTGCTGCCCCAGCGCCAAGCCTGCCTGTCTGTCTGCCTGCTCCCTCCAGCCATGATGGTCATGGACTCACCCCCTGGAACCATGAGCCCCAGACGAAACACTTTCTTTTATAAGTTACCTCGGTCATGGTGTCTCTTCGCAGCAATATAACAGTGACGAAGACAGATTGTTTAAGAAGTTGCTATAGGCCGGGCGGTGGTGGCACACGCCTTTAATCCCAGCACTCGGGAGGCAGAGGCAGGCGGATCTCTGTGAGTTCGAGACCAGCCTGGTCTACAAGAGCTAGTTCCAGGACAGGCTCCAAACCACAGAGAAACCCTGTCTCGAAAAACCAAAAAAAAAAAAAAAAAAAAAAAAAAGAAGTTGCTATAAGAAACCCTGCTTTAGGCAGGGAAACATATTCTTTGGTATATCAATACATGGCATAGGTAGGTATAAAATACTTTATGAGTGATTAAGTATTAGCATTTTGACTCCTTTCTGTTGCCCTGCCATGACCCAGCTGCAGACACACTTGGATAGAGACCACATGGCAGGCTTTAGTCTAATATTTTATTTTTTAAATTATTTTTTATTTTATTTGTACAGATGTTTTGCCTGCATGTGTGTGTGCCCGCTGCCCTCAGAGGCTAGAAAAGGACATCAGGTCCCCTGGAACTGGAGTTATAGACGGTTGTGAGCTGCCATATGGGTGCTGGGAATCAAACTCAGGTCCTCTGCAAGAACAGTTAGTGCTCTTAACCGCTGAGCTACTTCCCCAGCCCCTGCTCTGATCTGTAGTGTAGGTGCCAGGTCTTCTGTGACTGAGACTCACAGTCAGGTCCTTCATCTCATGGAAAAAGAAAAGAAACCCTCTCCTCCCACCTGCAGGTGAAGGGCTTTGTCCCTCTGGAGCTTCTGGATCAGACATTTCTAGAAAAACCACCCAGGTCTCAGACAAGTGGCATTTCTCTCCAGATCTAGGTTCCCCTTCTTATATCCTCATGATGGATCCAGAAGGTGATGGCATAAAACGGCTGTGACAGGTGAGGGATGGTCCCCATCCTGAGGGACAGCAGAAGGAAGCAAAGGGAGGGAAGATGCCATCACTGTGCCAAGATGATGATGGGCTGACTCCGGTAGAGGGGTCCCTCACTGTGACCAACAGGAGTGGGTCCTGCTCCATGGAGAACCCTTTGGACAACAGCAGGTGAGGCTCACTGAAGGGAAAGATGGGGTATTCAGAAAGTGGGGTGCACCTGGCTTGCGTGGTACTCCCCCACTCTGTGGTGCATTTTTTTTTTTTTTTAATCAGAGCCTCTTGTCAGAGGGAAGTCCTTGTGTGGCTTCCGTCATTCCTGAGATGTTGCTGATTGCTGTGGTGTTTCTGGTCTGGAAGGAAACACAGGAGAGGAGATTACAGAATGCCACGGGCGAAGATAGAGAAAGGAGAGGTAACACTGGAGCAGACAGAGTGGTGTCCGTGGGCTTCCAGCTGTGTGTAGGATTGAGATGAATACTGACAAACCATGGAGCCCAGAAGCCTTACAGAAAATTACACAGTAGGTGGGGGCCTTGGGAAAGGGTTGGAGGGGAGAGGAGAGGTAGGGAGGGGATCAGAGAAAAATGTAGAGCTCAATAAAAATCAATAAAAAAGAAATAAAGAAAATTGCACAGTAGGATTCAGCATAGAGAAAAATGATGGGGTGTGGGAAAACAACGACATCATTTTTAATTAAGATATGTTTGTGGGTCTAGGTAACAGAAGAGGCAAGTCAATGAATAATGATGCAAACTAGAGATAAATGTGAGCCTTCTGCCCTGAAAAATGGTTTTGGCTTTGCTGCTATAGAAACAGTAGGAAGAGCTTGCAGAGCTCCCCTCTCTCTCCTTATGGTGAAAGAGGCCATCCAGCCCATGCCGTGCACTTGGGGAGCTCCCCTCTCTCTCCTTATGGTGGAAGAGGCCATCCAGTCCATGCTGTGCACTTGGGGAGCTCCCCTCTCTCTCCTTATGGTGGAAGAGGCCATCCAGCCCATGCTGTGCACTTGGGGAGCCCTCCTCTCTCTGTCTTACAGTGGAAGAGGCTATCCAGTCCATGCTGTGCACTTGAGGTCTTACAGGTGTTCTTCCTTTTCAGGAAGTCATTGTATCTGCAAGGTGTCCCCCTCCTCCCAGTCTAACACTATGGCTGGGCTCCTGCCGTTATTGTCAATGCTCTGCCTTAATCTCTTCATGTTCATTTTTTTGGTGAGAGGGGTCCTCCATCAAGCATAGCTAAGTAAGACCAAATGCTTGACACCAGCAGTGGACACATTGTTAGTCACGTGCACTCATGGTCTGGGGTGCGAGGACATGGTCTAAGGTCTGGGCGTGCAGGAACACAGGATGGGAGGGACCATCAAGAGCCTCAGGAGGCAGCTCTGTGGGGCTGGAAGGTGAGATGCCCCTGGTTTACAAGAAAGTTATGTGACTGATTCGAGTAATTTGTCGGCTAACAGAGAGACAGAGTTCCAGACGTTGAGGACCAGATAGGGTTTAGTTTACCTGACTGAAGGAATTAGCAGATCAGAGCTTTCCTGCTTGGCAGTGGGGCTGGGATAAAGGGTGAGAGCAGGGGATCCTGGACGGGTATTGGCAAGGCAGTGCAAGAAGCCTGAGGCTGAACAACTCTACTAGAACTGGAGTTACGGACACTTGTGAGGTCCTCTACAAAAGCAGCTAGTGCTGTAACACTCCCCCCCCCTCCCCCGCTCGAGGCATCTCTCTGGCCCTGAGTAGTTAGCGCACAGTGAAGGGCTCCATTGTGGCATCTTCTTACACAGATCAAACTATACTTTTCCCACTGCCCATCTTTGTCTCCTCTTCCAACTTCTTTATAAAATTTATTTTATTATTTTATGTCTATGAATGTTTTGCCTGCATGTATGTCTGTGAACCACGGCATGTCTGGTGCCTGCAGAGGCCAGAAGGAACTGGAGTTACAGATGGTTGTGAGCTACCACGTGGGTGCTGGGAACTGATCTCAGGTCCTCTGCAAGAGTAGCAAGTGCTCTTTCTTAACTTCCAAGCCATCTCTCTAGCTCTTTCCTAACCTCTTTCTGGTTCCTTTTCTTCCCCCCTGTGCTGAGGATGACATCATTGTCACTATGAGGTCAGATATGACTGAGAGAGTGAAGTCACCGAGATCCCAACTACCAGAGCAGGTATGCAAATCCGGGTACAACTACCAGACTTGGTATGCAAATCCAGGTACAACTACCAGGGCAGGTATGCAAATCCAGATCCAACTACCAGAGCAGGTATTCAAATCCAGATCCAACTACCAGACTAGGTATGCAAATCCAGATCCAACTACCAGAGCAGGTATGCAAATCCAGATCCAACTACCAGACTAGGTATGCAAATCCAGATCCAACTACCAGAGCAGGTATGCAAATCCAGGTACAACTACCAGGGCAGGTATGCAAATCCAGATCCAACTACCAGAGCAGGTATTCAAATCCAGATCCAACTACCAGAGCAGGTATGCAAATCCAGATCCAACTACCAGAGCAGGTATGCAAATCCAGATCCAACTACCAGAGCAGGTATGCAAATCCAGGTCCAAGGGAGCCCTGTATTTGACCGAGTCATCTCTATAGTCCCTAAGTCCTTGTGTTTTAACCCCATTGCTGTTGTATCTGTGAGCTCCAAGCTCACTCATCGCTGAGCCTTGATGACATGAATGTAAGCCAGGGACTCTGCTACTCATCTGTTAGTATGTAATTGTCCAGCCCTAGTGACCCACCTACCTTTCCGAGGTCTCTTCACCTTCAGCAGGTCGACAGCCATGGCAAGAGGCAGCAGCAGAACGGGCAGGGCCATCCACAGCAGAGCTATCCTGGAGTCTGAAATGCAAACCCCAGTAAGTCACGGGACTAGGAAAATATGAAGATGATTCTTTCAGAGGTGCAGCTGAGGACGGGGCTCTCCTGTCTCACAGAAGCCCAGAGAAGCAGGCAAATTTAGCTTTGGTGTCCCTTCCCCCCACCCTTCACCCCATTTTCCTTCTTCTTTTTCCAGTTACATCTCTACATCACATCACAGGATCCGTGGCGGAACTATCGTGATACAACATAAAGTCTCCCAGGCTGTAACTACGAGGATTTTCAGGAGAATCAATTTCTAGTGCAGAAAATATCCAAAATGGGGGGGGGGGGGGGAGAGAGAGAGAGAGAGAGAGAGAGAGAGAGAGAGAGAGAGGTTGTTCTTGGGTGACTTGAGGACAAACTTTGCAAATGACATACATTTATTTTTAAAAGATTTGTTAACAATCTACCCTATGAGAGAGAAGAAAAATAGGAGGAAGAAAAGAAGACAAAAGGAGGAAAATTAGGGGAGGAAGAGGAGGAAGAGAAGGAGGGGCAGCAGCAGCAGCAGGCTGAGAGTGGGGTGCACACTTGTAAGCCCAGCACTTGTGGTGTGGAGGCAGACGGCAGAAGTCCCAGGCCAGCCTGCGCACACCAATCCTTCCCTCAAACAAAACACACAGAGCCCTAGGAGTCAGTCTCAATCATCTGACACTTAGTTCCCGCACCAGAGGATGGCATGCAGACACCAACCTGAGAGGGAAAACCATGCAGCCTTCTCCTCGCCCCAAGGGAGGCTGATGGAGCAGGTCATATTCACCACCGAGCCGTTTGTGACCTGCAGAAGCGTCTCCACCTGGAACAGCCCCTGGCTCCCTTGATGAAAGGCCTCGGAAAACGATGGCACAGCCCTTCCGCCTCTGTCCCTCCACTGCACCTGGGGCCGTGGGAACCACCCATCTGATGTACATCTCAGCTGCAAGCCTCCATCCTTCAGGATCTCCTGGGTGATCCGCGGGGTGGAGCCCACCGCTGGGGACAGAGACCAAGGAGGCAGAGATCAGCAACTTCCCCGAGGGAGGGAGGGGAGGGGAGAGCGGCTTGGGGAGGATAGCAGAGCTCAGGGCCAGTGAGTTTGTTTCTTGTTCTGTTTTCCTATTTTCGCTTCCAAAATCTTCTGGGAGGAATGATTTAGGAAGTAAGAAGATAATATATATATATATATATATATATATATATATATATATATATATGTATGTAACCTGGACTCCCATCTCTTTCCTCCTTGCACTGACAACAAAGTGACTTTGATCAGACAGGAGACACATGGACAACATGGAAGAAACTAGTTAGAGTTAGGAGATGTTTCTCAAAGCAGAGACAGAAAGCGATGTAGAAGTCCTCCAGGCATTCCACGACCCTGCTCATTCATTTAGACTGGGATTCCGAGAGAGAAATATGAAGGGTAGCCAGGATTTGAGCCTATGTCCTCGACGGCATTTGCTGGCCTTGGAGAGCTGGTTCTGGGGTGATTTTGGCTGCCGTCCTAGGAGCACACCAAGACTATCAGTCTTTATGGAAATTCTGTGTAGGTGGTAGATCCAGCTGAGTCCTCAAATTACTACACCTGAAAATTACATAGTTCCCAGAATCTCAGTAGCACTAAAATAACAAGTCTTGCATGAAATTATGGGGAATATTTTCAGATTTCCTAGAACCCATGGCTGCTTTATGGAGGTGCTTGAGAGCCCTGCTTTCCTTATTGTTCTATACTTAAAATTTTAAACCACAGGGAACGCCTGGTACCGCCAGTCCAGCCGAGAACTCATGGTGGTGAAGCTTGTTATTTTGCTAAATGAATGCAGTATCAGACTGTTCTCCAAATTCTTTATCTCTGTACCCTTAGATTATTAGCACTGCTCTCAGACCTCATCAGAGAAGTTTCTTTGGGTAACAGATGGTCATTAAGACAGAAGCTCACAACTGTCAAAGTGAGGAGAAGCAGTGTCAGTGGAGGGTGCTCAGGCACAAATGGGACCTGTGTATCTGGGGACTTCTATATCCCGGGATCTCTGTATCCCGGGACCTCTGTGTCCTGTTATTGCTACCCTGCCGCCCATGGCTAAGCGACCATCATAGAAGGGTGAGAGAGAAAAGTCGTATGAGTCAGAGGTTCGGGGTGGGTGCTGTACTGAAACTGTCTGAACGTGACAGGAACTCTGTGCTCAGACAGGGACTCTTGGCAGCTGCTGTTGCCAACACAAGATCTGCACAAGATCAAGCCTTCCAGCAGGGAAGAGGGAGGGGATCACAAGCCCCACCCCTAGCTGAGGAGCTGTGGACAGTGGATGGCTTCAGGGGAGGGGTGAGTCAGTTCTCTTTGTGTGTGGGACCCTCACCCCTTATTCTCAAAGGGGCAAGAAGAAATTTCCTAGCAGAATGTTTTCCCAGGAAGATAGTGGCCTTCCCCTCTCCCACCCAGGAGATTCCGAGCACAAGGTCACTTAGCTCACCCCAGTCAGCCACCTGGTACAGGCTGATAAAGACGACCTAATTCAAGAACAGTGGCCTTGCTCTAAGAACAAAGAAAAGAATGGGAGGGAGCAAAAGTCCTTGTACTGTGCCAAAGCATCTTCAAAGATTCTCTTTGTAGTTATGCCTTTAGAAGCTTACCCCACAGAGGAGATACAACTCCTCTCTACCTTGTTGTAACGGGGATGGAGATGAGTTCCAAACATGTTTGTATTATGCTGATTAAACCTTGCTTATTACAGTCTGGGCCTCTCTGGTGGTCTCTCTCTGGGGGCTGTAAGCTGGGCACAACAGTGGCTGTGGCTCCTGGTAGGCTGACCACGCCCCAGGGGATGGCTCCATGCCCATGAGTAGAGACAGGATAAACTGGAGTTGGTGGGTTATTAAATTAAAAAAAAGAGGATAGGAAGTTGGGGGGTAAAGAAGGGAGGGTAGATCTTGGAGGAGTTAGGTGGAAGGAGTTGGGGGTGAATATGATCAAAATTCGTGGTTTGAAATTCTCAGAGAAATAGTAAAAAATATTGATTTAAAAACTTCAAACCAGCGTGCCTGAAGTTGTGATCTTGCAGTATCTATGGTGGTGACTACATTGAAAGTTCAATATAAACTTGAAAATGAATGAGCATGGTGAATATTTGGGGGGCAGAAATATCTCCCAGTAACTAGCCTATGTCACAGTGTTAAGCTGGAGAAGCCCAAGAGCTGCCTGGAATCCTTACCCATCACCTGCACATCCACGCGGGCCTCCTGGTAGACACCGTCTTTCCCGAAAAGGCACCGGTACCTCCCATCATCTGAAGTTCGGGCATCGTGTATCCGCAGGGTCAGCTTTCCCTCGTGGACGGCATCTCTCATCACCACAGTCCTCCCTCTGTATTCCGCCATCTGCTCTCCCGCTGAGTGGGCCCCGCTCACATGCACGTGGACTGCGGGGTAGTAGTGGGACCGGACCCACCTCACCTCCATGCTCTGAGCGTTAGCTTCAGGTGACAGGTGACACGTTATTTCTATGTTCTCTCCGACTCGGACAAGGATGGGCTGGGAAGGTCCAATCACCCTTGAGGAAGCTATTAAATGAACCAACACGGAGAAGTAACTCCACCAATAGGGACACCTCCAGCGAGGTTCAGAACCCGCAAGCTCCCCACGGGAGGTCTGAGGCTCAGGGTCACCCTTGCAGGAGGGTGGGACTCGAGGTCTCAGGGCGCCAAAGGTCCTTGCTTAAGGAAGAGCCTGGCTAGCCTGAAGACAAGGCTAGTTAAAGCTTAGACTGCGCGCCAACAAGCGAACGATTTTATCGCTAAAGCGCTCAGCAGAAAAGGGATACTCCATCACACCCCATCATTGCCGATCTGGCTGACTTTATGCACTGAGTCAGTCCATGCCTCAGAGTTTTAAACTATGAAATATATCTACTGCTACTCAAATCCTAAGACTGTTATGCGATTAAACAAAGGTTTTTTTGCTGACCATGCAGTGTGAGCAGAGATTCAGAGAGGTGAGGGTGCTGAAAGTGAGCGCCAGGTGGGTGTGGTAACAGAAATCAAAGAAGCCCTTTCCTACGCCAGTGTCTGAAGGAGGTCTGGGCCTGCCATTCCCTTCCCATGCCAACTTAACCAGCACGGGGAAAGCCTGGGCTCCCTTTCTTGTGGGGAGCAGGAGGTTTCCTGGTTGCTTTCCACGCCCTGCCCTCTTTCAGGGAGGGGTGTGCACGAGGGTCTCACTCACCCAGCTCTGTCTGGAGTTTCTCTGGAGAAGGAAGAAGAACAAAATTTTAAGGAATTTTGTCTAAAGGAAAAGAAAGAAACTGTCTTCAGAAATAAAGGTAAGCTTTTCGGTTTATTTAAGAACTCAGTTTTCTTAAAAAATACCAAAAGCAGACAAATAATTCTTCCCCACGAATCATCTGGTGACACTGATTTTACTTTTTTCACAACAAAAAGCTGTCAGTTTTATCACCATCAATTCAGTTTGCTTTGGCTGCTATTAAGTGCTGGTAAAAAAATACACACTGTTTTTATAAGTGAATACTAAGTATGAACTAGATGACCACAAACAAGTATCACTTAGAATCCCAAACTGGGACTGTATGGCACTAATCTAGCATCAACACAACATTTACTTTTAACTTTTTAATGCATCTTCTTACATCACAATACATCCAGAGTGTCCTAAGAGTCTCTGTTCAATTAAAGGCATTTAAAGACAACACTTGTCACATAATAGCAATGTCACATCCGCTCACTCTATAGTAACATAGTAACACCTTGGGATGCTCCGCCAAGAGGATTGCTGTGGGGTTGAGGCCAGCCTGGACTAGAGAGTGAGACTCTGTCTCAAAAGAAAAACAGAAGCCTGTTTCAGATAGCAGACAGACAGGCAGGCAGGCAGATAGACAGGGGGATACACAGACGAAAGACAGGTAGATGGTGGATAACTAGGAAGATGGGTGGATGATAGATGATGATTGACGCACAATTAATAAAAACTCAGAGACTGAAATTGGGGTTCAGCCTGAAGATCTAAGAAGCAAATTAGCCAATCACTGACTCTTTCTTATCTTGACCTCAGTCTGAAAATGGCGATCCTGTCTCCAGGAACCTCAGAATGGGACTGAGACTGAGAACTGTCTCCTCCCATTTCATAATCCTCTCTAGGGCTTGGAGCAGAGATGTGCACCACGGGGATTAAAGTCATGCACCACCCGGTTTCTATGGCAACTAGAGTGGCTACTGGGATTAAAGGAGCATGTCATTGTTGGCTGGTCTACAAGGCTGGCCAGTGGAGCTGTTTTTCTTTCCTGATCCCCAGGCAAGCTTTATTTAATAAAATAAAAGTGAAATGCCGCGCCAGATGAATTATGGATGGATGATAGGTCAACGATAGACTGATAGATGACGGCGATTGGCAGATAGACATGTGCTAGCTAGGGGGTGGAGTCGATTTATGAATGATAGATAAACGGTGGATAACTGATAAATGGTTGATAGGTAGATAGATGATTGACTGATTAGATAGGTAGATAAGACAGGCAGGCAATAGATGATACTGGACACTAAATAGATCTTTATCCTTGAGCATGAGGATTTTTCTGGGCTCCCAAAGTCATTCAGTGTCCTTTTCTCTGTCCCTGCTCTAACTTCTAACAACTTAGGCAACAAACCTCACCACTACCGTATTGTGTTTTGATTGCTTTGTTACTGTTTATTGTCAAGACTATAATTAAGAAGCTATTAGAGAAACCATCTCATGCTGACTAAGCACATGATTGGTTCCCGGGGGTGGGGGGTAACTGGTATAGCACAGGAAAGTGTGTCAGTTGAAGGAATATTTTTATTATATTTCCAGTTGGAGAACTATTCTTGTTATATTTCCAACATATTGAACACCTGGGAGGAAAAAAATCAGCACTGAAGTAAAACACAGAACTTGAAAATGCCTGGAATCCTATGAACTGCCACCTAATCAAAATGCACAGGATGCCTTTTATGAAAATGTTTATGAATTTTAACATATTACTTAAATATCATTAAAGAAAATATGTGTTACTGCCGAGAAGCCCCCCTCCCCCAACCCTTCATGGTGCCCAAGCGGAGCACTGACCTGGCAGGGCAATGGCGGCCTCCTTGGCCTCTTCGAGGCCACGGTTGTAGATGAAGCAGGAATAGGTCTCTGAAGTATCGTTCCTGACCACTAGTGTGTCTTCCACACAGAACAGCCCATCTTCACCCAGCACGTGATTCTGAGAGAAACTCAACAACTCTTCTCCCCACGTGGCCTCCCAATAGACCTCGGGCTCAGGGAACCAGCCCTGGGACGTGCATACGAGCTGGATCCCTCCCTCTCCTGGTCCCTCCATGTGGATGTTTGGAGAAGATCCTAGGGCTGGAGAGAGAGAGAGAGAGAGAGAGAGAGAGAGAGAGAGAGAGAAAGAGAGAGAAAGAGAGAGAGAGAGAACATCTTTTAAGTCTAGGGCCCAAAGAAGGCATCAAGATCCAGAGTCCTAGGCGGTGGTGGCGCACGCCTTTAATCCCAGCACTTGGGAGGCAGAGACAGGCGGATCTCTGTGAGTTCGAGGCCTGCCTGATCTACAGAGTGAGCTCTGGGACAGATACCAAAGCTAAACAGAGAAACCCTGTCTTGAAAAATAAAATAAAGATCCTGAGTCCTTCACAGGGAGGAGGTGGGAGCCCAGGACCCAGAAGCAGACAGCGTTACCAGGGTTTCTTCACACTCAGCTGAGTTCTGTTTTTTTTAATTTGTTCCCCAGACTGTGTCTTTAACCTGACCACACTTTTCTTCAGAATCAGATGGTAAAAACAGTGTGGAGATAAACATCACAGATTTGTGTTGCTGCAGAGACGAGGTGTGATTTATTTACGACAACTTCTGTGCCCCCCGCTTCTCTATTTCCTCTCTCACTGGTCTCTGTACTAGGTGCCTTGTCTGCCATTTTTGGCTGATATCTGGACTCTAATTTAAATGAGATATTTATTATTAAACTCAGACATCACATTCATGGGCTATTTTCATTTCTTCTGTGGGCAGCTGCAATTTTGGCATTTAGTAAAATGCACGAGAAATTACTGTACCTTAACGTATTTTTTCAGTGGGGAAATCTAACTGATTTGTATAAATCATGAAGTGCCTTCTTTAACAACAGAACCATTCACGTCTCTGGCTGAGCGAATAGATGAATAAGCCTTTCCCTTCACCCAGAGAAAACTCCTGCCTTAACTCTAAATGTCCCTGAGTGTGACATGAATCAGTGTCCAGCTCCAATCGCATCTCAGAAATACACGGATTCTCACGTCCATTTTGAATCAGCTGAACACAGTAACGGGAACAATTGCAGCCATGAGTGTCAAGGAAAAAAAGGTTAAGTGTGGCATTTTCTCAAAAGAACTAAAGGCAGACCTGATGTGTAGCCTCATTGTCCCTCTTCTGGGAAAACACCCAAGGGAATTTAAGGCTGTCCTCACTCACTGCAGAACCCTTCCCAAAGCCCCAGCTGTAAGACCAGCCTGGATGTCCATCCACAGAGGAGTGGGCAGAGAAAATGGGGGGTGAGTGCACAATGGTGTTTTGTTAAATTTTATTTTATGTGCGTGGGTATTTTGTCTGCAGGTGCATCTGTGCATCACGTGTGTGCCTGGTGCGTGTGGGGCCCAGAGAGGCTTTGGATGCCCTGGAACTGGAGTTACAGGAGGTTCTGAACTGCTGTGTGGGTGCCAGGAATCAAACCTGGGTCCTCTGGAGGAGCAACAAATGCTCCTAACTGCCGAGCCATCGCTCCAGCTCCCACACTGCTGCTTGTTCAGGATTGAACTAAGTTAGCCATGGGAAGTGGATGGACCTGGAGGCCATCATATTAAGTAGAAGGAGATTATGGAATGGGAGAGGGAGACAGGAGAGGGCAATGGGCAAATATGATCAAAGTCCATGATAAACTTGAATGAAAGTGTCATGAGACCCATCACTTTGCACAAGGAATACATGCTAATGGATTTTTTTTCAAGACAGGGTTTCTCTGTAGCTTTGGTGCCTGTCCTGGAACTAGCTCTGTAGACCAGGCTGGCCTCGAACTCACAGAGATCCGCCTGCCTCTGCCTCCCGAGTGCTGGGATTAAAGGCGTGCGCCACCACTACCTGACTGCTAATGGATTTTTAAGAGGTGGTAGTAGCAAGGAAAGAAACTGCACTGGCCAGAGAGGCGAGTGTCCCCAGAGAATCCTTCCCCTAGCGAAGCCACCGGTTTGCCTGACTTCCCCCTCAGCATGTGAAATGGTCATGATGGCGTGGACAAGATCCGTGTTAGCTCAAGCCAGACAGAATCCCGGCATAGAGAGGGAGTGGGCATGAATCCCACCACTAGCGAGAAGTTCTTGGCCACTGATAGCTACTGGGAGGAGGACCAGTTTTCCTTAGGGCACAGCTCCTGGGAGGCTGACCAAGCTCAGTAGATGGCCCCACACCCGAGTATATGGACAGACAGCACACACTGTCCTGGATGAGGGGAGGGAGAGGAGGAGACATAGGTGTACAGGGAAGAGAGGGGGTGGAGTCTGGGAGGAGCTGGGGAGGGGAAGAAGATGATCAAAATACACTGTATGAAGTTCTCGACGAATTAATAAAAATGCAGAAGAGGTCTGGGGAGATGGTCCAGTGGTTTAGAGCACTGACTGCTCTTCTGAAGGACCTGGGTTTGATTCCCAGCACCCACATGGGGCCTCACAATCACCTCTAACTCCAGTTCTGGGATATCTGAGCCTCCTCTGGCCTCCATGGGCACTGAGCACACACAGAATGAACAGACACACACAGGCAAAACACACAAACACATAAAGTAAAAACAAATAATTCTTTTTAAAAAAATGAGTAAGGAAAAATTGTGTGTGTGTGTGTATGTGTGTGTGTGTGTGTGTGTGTGTGTGTGTGTGTGGTCGAAAGGAGATTTTTCAGTAAGGTGAGTGAGTGGTTACCCTCATTGTGCCCCTGGACCCCTGTGCAGATACTCACCCGCCACTCGGAGCAGCACGCTTGCCTCCTTCCAGTTGTCCCCTTCCTGGAAGCGGCACCAGTATTGCCCATCGTCACCTGGCTGGATCTGGTGGATCTTCAGGGCCACACTTCCCTCGTGAGTGCTGCCCTCGGTCCACTCCACCCTGCCTCTGTATTCCTCCATCTGTAGCCCGGCCACCTCGGCTCCATCCCGGTGCACAATCACAGGCGTGTCAGGGTCAGAGCGGTACCACCGCACCTCCATGTGCGCCGCTGTCCTCTTGGGGAGGAGCTGACATGTTAGCAGGGCATCTTCCCCGACTTTGGCCAGGATGGGGAGGGCAGGCCCCACCACTCTGAAGTCATCTACGGGACAGTGGAAAGGAAAAGAGCTAGAGAACGGGGATGCTTGAGGAGCCAGTGTGCTGGGATTCGGTACCAGGAGGCTGGAGGGATTTAATGCCAACGTTTCAGTGAATCTGAGCATGGACACTTGTACAGTTTCTGGTTGAAAAAAAAAAAACTGTATGTATCCTAAAGTTTAAAAATTTGATCCTATGCTTGTTCTTTCCCAGTCCAGCTGGAGTTGGTGAGCTCCCATTAGCTCAGGGAGACTGTTTCAGTGGGTGTCCCCTTCATGGTCTTGACCTCTTTGCTCATATTCTCACTCCTCCCACTCTTCACCTGGACTTTGGGAGCTCAGTCCAGTGCTCTGATGCGGGACCCTGCCTCTGTTCCCTCAGTTGCTGGATGAAGGTTCTATGGTGATATTTAAGATATTCATCAGTCTGGCTACAGGGCAAGGCAAGTTCAGGCCCTATTCTCATTGGGTGGGTACTGTGCTCAGCCTAGATATAAGGGAGGGCCTTGGACCTTCTCCAAAGCAATGTTCTTTACCCTCTTGGAGGAATGTATGGGAGAGGAGTGGAGGGAGGTAAGTAGAGGGAATGGGAGGAGGGGAGAGAGTGAGAACTTGAATTGGTATGTATAATGAAAAGATATAGTTTGTTTTCTTTTAAAAAAAACAAGTAAAAAATAAAATAAAATAAAAATCTGAGCATGAATGCATCACCAGCCTTGAGGTTTGGAAGCAATTCCATGGCGAAGGAACCTTTGAGACCTGGGACTTTTTTAAGTATTTTATTTTTAATTATGCACCTTTGTGTGGGTGCGCACACGTGTGTGCAGACCAGATGGGAGCATCAGACCCCCGGGAGCTGGGGTTCCCAGTGGCGGTGAGCCGCGTGCCGTAGGGACTGGGAACTGAACTCAGGCCTCTGGCAGAGCGTTTAGCACTCACAACAGCAGAGCCACCTCTTCTCTCCTGAGACTTTCACTCTGAAGCCACGAGCAGTGACGACACCTCTGGCTTTCACTCCCAAATAAATTAATTTGTGAGATGATGTTTCTACGGGGATTTTTATCTTGGTTCTATGGCCATTTCTACGGGGAATTTTATCTTGATTCTATAGCCATTTTGAGTTTAGATAAACCAATGATGCCACCAGGTCCTGCAGCCTTGCAGGGCCATTCATCCCAGGGAGGGAACAGACTTGCTTGTTTCCTTCCTTCTAGAGAAGGCAAAAGTCCAGGAAGTGGCAAAAGTGGGTTTCACAGAGGTGGGTTAGAGGCATGGTTTGTCTGGAAAGTTCAAGTCTTCTGGTCAAATTTTAAGTCATCTTCCTTGACATCTGAGTATCATAGAGATGTTTGATAATTCTCTATGTTGCTGGCCTAGGGTCTCTATTGCTGTGGTGAAACACCATGACTGAAAAACAAGTTGGGGAGGAAAGGGTTTATTAGGCTCACACTTCAGCCTTGCTGTTCAGCGCTGAAGGAAGTCAGGACAGGAACTCAAACAGGGCAGGAACCAGGAGGCAGGAGCCGAGGCAGAGGCCATGAGGGTGCTGCTCACTGGCTTGTTCCCCATGTTGCTCAACCCACCTTCTTCTAGAACCCAGGGCCAGCATACCAGGGGCAGCACCACCCGCCATGGACTGGGCCCTCCCACATTGATCACTAAATGAGAAAATGCCTTACAGATGGATCTCATCCAACCATTTCCTCTACTGAGGCTCCTTCCTTTGATGACTCTAGCTTGTGTCAAGTTAACATACAAAACCGGCCAGTACAGTTGCTATGTTTAAGAATTTCAAGCGTCATTTGTACACCACATTCTTCCTCTGCAGTCCCAGTAAGACAGACCAGGAGTTCAAGGTCATCTTGGCTACTGACGAGCATCAGAGACCTTCCTGGGCCTTGTGAGGCCCTGTCTAGGCAGAGGGAGAAGCTGGAAAGCTTTGCAGAGAAAGATGCTTGCAGCCTAGCCTGAAGAACCGAGTTCAAGTCCCAGGGTTCACAGGGTGGAAGAAGAGAACCAGCAACTTGTCTTCTGACTTCCGCACACAAGCAGCGCCATGAACATGAGCTCTGCCCCCACATAAATGTTAACATTAAAAGCTAAATAAAAGTAGTTATAAGAATAAATTTATTTAATTCAGACTTAAGATGAAATAAAATAAGTACGGCTCAAAAATGCTCCCCCAGAACTTAAATGGAGATCTTGTGTCATCCGCTGGTGGGATTTACATGTGACATCCTTACCCACAGGGTTAAAAGCACGAGATGAAAACTGCGCATGCTCCAACTACCGAGTCAAGCGCGCTTCCAGGTGACTCTCATTGCTATCTAAAGTTGTTACCGGCGCCCAAGAGATAAGCAACTAAGTAAGAGCTTTCCAGAGCCGGGGTTGGAAAGCCCAGCGCGAGCCCTGGACCTCTACACCCCGAGTTACAGCACCATCCGGTTGTGTTCTGTATCTTAGCTACGCAGGGCGTGCCAGCAAGGGAGGAAGGGACCCTACCTGGGTGCTTCACAGTCAGCAGAAGGAAGAGCAAGGAGGCAGCCACGCCGGGCAGACTGTAGCCTGGGTAATCCACCATCCTCCCTGGAGCAAACACAGGAGAGAGTATGGCTGTGATACCCAGCATGTCCTGCAGGTTCCACACTGCTTGCTGTGGCTTGTTTGCTTGTCCTGCCAACTCCACACAAGCTAGTGCAGCCATTCTCAGCCTTTCTAATGCTGTGACCCTTCAATACAGCTCCCCACGTGGTGACCCCCAACCATAGCATTGTTCTCTAGTGGCTGCTTCATAACTGTAATTTTGGTAGTTATGAATCATACTGTAAATATCTGTGTTTTCTGATGGCCTTAGGCCACCCCTGGGAAAGGTTCGTTTGACCCTCAAAGGAGTCGCCACCCACAGGTTGAGAAATGTTGAGCTAGAAGAGGGACCCTCAGTGGAGGAGCTGCCTCCATCGGATTAGCTGGTGTACAAGTCTTTAAGGTGTTGTCTTGGTTAATGATTGATGAGGGTGGCCCAGCCCACTGTGGGTGGTGCTGCCCCTGGACAGCCAAACTGAGCAAGCCACAGGGGGCCAGCCAGTAAGCAGTGTTGCCCACAAGGTCTCTGCTTCAGTGCCTGCCTCCAGGTTCCAGCTGAGTTCCTGCCTTGACTCCCCCTTCATAGTAGATGGTAAACTGTAAGAGTAACCCTTTCCTCCCCAGGTTGCATTTGGTCTTTATGCTTATCACAGCAACAGAAAGCAAGGGAGGACAGTGTCCAATGTTGATGCTATCTTAATAAACAACCCACACCAACCCCGTCACTGTCAAACCATTGTCTGTCTCTAGTCTGTGTGCTTATTGATTGCAGCTGACCCCCTGCCTCACGTCTGACCTCTCCTGTGAGGCACGTTTGTAGGTACTCCTGAGGCTCCACCCCCTGACGTCTCACGTAGTCCAGGATGGCTGGCTTCTAACTTGTTGTGTGGCCAGGGATGGCATTGAACTCCTCCCTCTACGTCTTGTGAGTACTGAGATCAAAATTCCATGCATCTGGAGGCAATACCGAAGAGGATGAGGCAGGAGGATGTCCACTTTGAGGCCAACCTGAGCTGGAGGAAGTTTCCTGGTTGAAATGAAAAACAGTCCCCAGATAGAGACGAAAACATTAAAAAGAGACTCAGCCTGGTGTGATGGCTCACTATCATCCCAGCACTCAGAAGGCTGAGGCAGGAGGATTGCCCTGAGTTGGAAGTCAGTAAGGGCTCTAGAGTGAGAGCCTGCCTCAGAACACTGCTCTCTGAAAAACGCGCAGTGGAGATCAACAGGAAGTGAGAGCCATCGTGACCGGTGGCTGTTTCCTGACAGGTCACCAGCTGTTACACAGACCTTACTTCCCCATCTTAGTAGGCTTCTCCCAAATCCCAAGTCCATCCTTCACTAGAGACTCTGCACGCCACTCACCTGTCTCTCTCTCCTTTGAGGGGAAACCGAGGCTCTTGCGTGGTGTTGTGTCTCTCGCCCACAGGGTCCCTCATCCACACAGCAGGTGTCTAAAGACGGGTGAGGTCAGGACTCGCTGGCTGGAGAGGCAACCGTGGAGCAGCCCCAGGAAGTGGAGGCATCTTTGGGTTGGGTGAAGGGAGATGTGAATGCTGCCAGCCTGAAGGCAGAGCCCAATCCTCAAGGTTCACTCTGAAAAGAGACTCCTGTCAGACAGCACACTCACCTCCACCCACCACAATACACTCAAAAGCGAAACTCAGAGGCCGGGTGGACTTTGGCTGGGCTCTCTCTGGTTTCGCTAGACTTCTAGGCATAGATATAGCATTGGCACTTACCTTGTCAGAATGCCAGCGCTCAGGCTGGACCCTGCTCCACACCCTGTCCAGCAGGTAGGACCTGGCGCCTGGTAGTGCCCCATATCACGGCTACCTTTGTCCTGCCCACAAGACTACTGAATTTCTATGGTTCTCCACATAGGGCAGGCTCCCCTGGGAACACAGTCTGTGGTCCTGCAGGGTTGGGAGCATGAACATCTATTTATACTCAATATTAATCCTACTGAAGAGAAAACTAGATCTTATCCCCACTGAAGAGAAAACTGAGGGGGTGATGTTCCTTCCCCGAGACCAGAGCATCAGGCCGAGGTGCCCAGTGTGTCTTGGTTGCTTTTGCTTTTTTTTTTTTTAAATCTCTTTTTCTGGAAAACAAAAAGCTTTTAAACAAGAAATCTGATAAGGTTTCTGACACAGTGTGTAGGAGGCTGCTGGGCGCCCCGTTGCGTGTTCTTCTTCCCACAGCCCTTCCTTGGGGCTCCCCTGAATTCTTCCATGCTGGGGGGGGGTTCTCTAGATCCACTCTCAAGAGCAGGTAGAGCAGTGTTTAGCTTCTTTGGAGGAATTCTCCTCATTGTAACAGTGGAGCAGCAGAAGCATACAAAACACTATGGTTGGGTTCTAACTGAGTGTCTTCATTCCTTCTCTCTCAGGATGCTTGGCCAATCCTGCTCCATCTGGCACACAGCTACTGAATTTGGTGTACAGATAGTGGGTCTATCCGCAGGGCAGTATGGGAGGAGCTAATAAGAAGGACACAGGGCCATTTCTCCACCAGAGCAGAAGAGTTGTGCCTTGTTAGTTTTATTTTGTCTTATTTATTTATTTATTTATTTTTGACACAGCATTTTTCTGTGTAGTCTTGGGTGTCCCAGAACTCACTCTGTAGTCCAGGCTGGCCCCAGACCCACAGAAGTCCACCTGCCTCTGCTTCCTGAGTTTTGGGATTAAAGGTACTTGCCACCACCACCTGACTTTGTAATGGTCAGTTTTAATTGTCAGCTTGACCCATGTAGAATCCCCTGTGAAGGGACTCTCTATGAAGGATTGTATAGATGGGGTTGGTCTGTGGGCAAGTCTGTGAGGGAGTAGAGGGTTAGTAGAGGCGGAAAGACCCAGTCCTGAATGCTGGAGGCACCATTTCATGGACTGGGTCCTGAGCTGCATAGGAGTGAAGAGGCAAGGGGAGCTGAGCAGGCATTTTACAAGAGCAGAGCAGCCGTGACATCACAGGAGCAGAGCAGCCGTGACATCACAAGGTCAGAGCAGCCGTGACATCACAGGAGCAGAGCAGCCGTGACATCACAAGGTCAGGGCAGCCGTGACATCACAAGGTCAGGGCAGCCGTGACATCACAAGGGCAGGGCAGCCGTGACATCACAAGGGCAGGGCAGCCGTGACATCACAAGGGCAGGGCAGCCGTGACATCACAGGAGCAGAGCAGCCGTGACATCACAAGAGCAGAGCAGCCGTGACATCACAAGGGCAGAGCAGCCGTGACATCACAGGAGCAGAGCAGCCGTGACATCACAAGGGCAGAGCAGCCGTGACATCACAAGGGCAGAGCAGCCGTGACATCACAAGGGCAGAGCAGCCGTGACATCACAAGGTCAGGGCAGCCGTGGCATCACAGGAGCAGAGCAACTGTGAAAGCCCAGGAATTTGCAGTCAACCCGATTTTCTGAGATTTGCCACTTGAAGAAACTAAAGAAAGCAGGGGCTGGGGGCGGGGTAAGAGCAAGGGAAGGAAGGGAGAGAGGGAAAGAGAGAAGAAGGGAAGGAAGAGGTGGAGGTCCGTTAGTCAGTGGTCCGTGAGACTTGCAGGCATTTAAGTTTCAGACTGGGCAGTTCTGAGCTCTGGTGTCCATCCGTCTGCTATTGACTCTGGACTGTTGGGTCCGTCTCAGTACTAAAATCCTAAAAAGTTCTGACAAACATTCCTCTGAATGTTGAATTTCTCACTTAAAACTTTAATTGACTTTCAAATTTACTAAGAGATTTTACAAGTAGAAATTATTGTTTTCAACTCACCAATTACTGTTTTCTGAAAATGACAAAATTGACTTTGCTGCAGATATAAGCAAAGTGCCCCCAGAGGAGCTGGGAGGACCATGGGGTGCGCCCCAATCCTTCAAACTCCCCAGGATCACAGAGAATCAGATTCCAACCAATACTTAATTCCTGTTCCCATAACTATGAACGTGCCCGGCCTCTTGTCACTTTGGCGCGCACCACCCGCGCACCACCCTGCGAGGTGAGAACCTCCAGGCACTCAGAACTCGTCACTTGCCCCGTCAGGGCCGGTCAGGCTGTTTGTCCTCTTGGGGCCATAGATTCCCCCACCGACCATGGAAGGTTCAGCTTGAACCCAGAGCTTCAGATTGGAATACTGTCTAGCGGGAATCAGCAGCTCCTTCTAGCTCCCTCTCTCAAAGCCGGCTCATGGCTGCCCTCTCCAGAGAAGATGCTTTCCCAGAGGACCAAACCGGAGAAGTGCGGCCCACTTCGGACATTCAGGCTCATGTCGCACTGGGAATAAGAGGAGATATCCTGTTTGAGAAAATAAAATTAGAAGTAAAGCTTACTGGATACTAGCATTTGCACCCCTGAAACCTATCCCATTTTTTTGTCCTTTCCTTGGCTGCTGTCTTGATCCCGTGGCTCTGTGAAATGTACCCCAATGACGACAGCTCCACGTGTGACCAGTAGGTGGCGGATTTTTCCAAGACAAGGTGCTAGTGTTTCAAGGTGGCCGAAGAGACAAGTCACCTTTTGCCTAAGGTCTGAAGAGCTGTGTCCCCAAACCTCACAAATATTAACTTTCAACTCATCATTGTATCTAATTGTGGTTTTGTATTTCATAGCAAACTCAATTCAGGGCCTGGAGAAATGGGGCAGGAGTGAAAATAACGAGTCTTGTCACCAACTACGTTCATGGACCCCAGAGGAATTCCAGGACCAAAGCTTTGTTGGGGAGGGTGTGGGGAAGACAGAGTGATGAAGAGAGGCTGCTTCCTCAGCTTTGAAGCTGCTGCCATGTTTCCTTGCCCGGTATTCTTAAAACACACCTCAAAAAGGATCAGCTCTTCTCTCAGAGTCAGCCCAGACTCCAAGAGTAGATCATGGAGGCGTGAGTCCTTCAACAGCTCAAAGGCTTTGGAGGAGTCAAGAGCATCTGAGGATGGTGGGTGGCCTGGAAGGTTCACGTAGGGCTGCAGGGGCAGGAGGCTGAAGTATGAGGGACGCTGTATTCTCAATATTAGGGTGAAAGTTCCTTGCAAATGCATACAAAGTGCAGTAGTTAACAGGGAGGAAGGAAAATGACATCTCCGAGGCTATACTTCCCCTATTTAACTCATATCACCGGAAGCAGTTGGCAGCTGTTTAGTTTCATGAATCTATGTGGATTTAACACACTGTGTCTGGGTCTAATTTCTTTCTAAATAGGAAAACCTGACTCTGCCTACAGACCCCATAACTGATAAACCCACTAACGTCCAGGACACAAAATCAACAGACAAAACCAATAGCTACTCCTACACACTGGCAACAGGTTTTCTAAGAAAGAAATCGTGAAAGGAATTCAACCCTTAATTGTCACAATTTGAAGCAAACTTAAAAAAAAATACTGATGAAAAAAAATTGAAGAAGTCAGACTTGCTGGGGCCCTGTATCCCTGCCTCAGTGCGATGAACCACAAGTTCAAAGTGGGCCAGGGCTGCAGCGTAAGTCCTAGGCCAGCCTAGCTGAGACCCTGTCTCAGGATTATACTACAGTTTTATGCTGTGGTTAATTTAGTGGAGGAGCACATCCCTGGCATGAGATGAGGCCCCAAATTTAATCTGTAGTACTCAAAAAAACAATGAAAAGAAAAATAAACCGAAGAAGATACAGAAATGAAAACCCTTGCCGTGTTTGTTGTCTCGAAGAATTAATATTGTCAAAATGTTATTCTACTGAAGACAATTTAATGATTCATGCCGTCTCCACCGAAACAACCATGCCACTGCCACAGAGCTGTAGAAATCAGTCCTAAAATTACACAGAATCACGCGAGACCCCAATAGCCACGACAACCTAAAGCAATAGAAAAGCAGGCCTAGGTGTGATCCTGAGCAGCTTAGGGTGCAGAGGGCGACCGGGGAGGGGGTGCTAGAATGGAAGTACTCTGCAGAACCCTAAAATGTACCGAAGCCACAGAACTGACCCGGGTCCAGTGTGCAAGGACTCTGATGCTGGGAACTGTGGGGCAATCCGAGTGGGAGAGTGAAGACAGACAGACAGACAGACAGAGAGACAGACAGACAGACCTGTAGCTGGAATATAAATATATCCACACATCTTCATCTGAGTCCCCTTTGGCTCTGAGGCCCTGCTCGCCCCATGGGAACGTGTGGCAATGTGAGTTCGTCCACTCTCTGTTTTCTCAACACACATTTTTTTTGTGTGGCCCAAACCTTGTGGTCTGGGTGGTAGAGAGTACGATGGACCTGTGTCATGCGGTGGGCAAGCTGTCACAGGCTTGGACATGGGCATCAGATGGGTGACATCCTCAGTACTTGTTCCTTTGTGTCCCGTGGGGTCTGTTGGAACTGACCTTAGTGGGACTCCCCAGAGGCCTCTGACCTCTCTAAGCTAGAAGAGAAGTCCAATGCTCTGACCAATGCTCCCCCAGCCTTAGGGTATGCTTCTTGTAATATATTCCATTCTGTGTCCTGAAGGAGCTATGCCTGGTGGCTCACCACAGTTTAATGTCACCAAGGAAAGTCATTCAGGTGACTCCAGAAATCCCCTCAGACATATGAGAATCTAGAGTTGGGAGAACAGGAAACCACAGACAATGTTCAAATCTATTTCTAAATTCTGTTTCTAAACTTCCTCCCATCACAGAGAATGGAACTCAAAGTCATTCTCCGAAGTC